AATTCAAAGGACATATCTCTTAGTTAGTGATTTATAAGTTTTGAATTTAGCATAGTGCACAATATTTTTTTTTACTTTTCTTTTAGCTGAAAAAAAAATAGCAAGGTTAAAAGTGTGAAAACAATATTAAGAAGTGGAGATTATTGATATTTTAGATGAATATTAAGGACCTTTCCGATATTTACGTTAGTTAGAGTTAGACCCTTCTTTCTCCTTATAAACCCCTAGCTTGGTGATTACAGAGTGGAAAAATAGGCAATTTTAATTAGCCCCTAATTACAAATAATTTTCATTGGTCAATACCTTAAATTAAACTTTAGTAGCGAATTATTTATGTTGAATTAATTTAATTGATCGAAATAATCTCTTTTCTATCCCCTCTCATCTTCTTTCTTCAAAACAAACAAGTCCTAAGAGTTTAGCTTTCGTTTTAATTGTTAGGAAAAAATTATTAGTTATTACTACATTCATTTTATAATAGTAGTTTTTTCTTTTTTAAAAAATTTCCAGAATTAAAATTTTGATTTATATTTTTTTTACTTATATTACTTTTTAAAAAATAAGGATAAAGAAAAGATTGTAATTATAAGATGAGTTTGTCTATCCCATACTTAAGAGTACAAGATAAAAAGACATTATTAAGTAATAATTATAACTTTTTTCTTTGAAAAAAGTAAAATTTTATACTAAAAAAATAACTTTTAATTTTTAATTTAAAATTAATCAATCAAAATTTAACACATGATATTTATAATTAAAATAAAAAATTAACTTTATCATTTTTAAGATAAAAAATAATAATTATTACATAATTAATGTTTCTTATCCTACGCCTTGAAAGTACATGATAGATTAATCTTTATAAGGTTAATAATAAAAAGTGGAAAATTTCTAACTTGTTCCATGGGAATGTAATTATTGTATCTTTTTATATCATTGGTATTGAAAAATAAAAGTTGAAATCTTTTAATCAATTAAATAATTAAATTAATCCACGTGACATTGATGGTAAATTAATGTCAAGTTTTCCATTTATCAACACCAATTAATATAAAAAAAATATGTATTAATTAAATCTTTAACATTAAGATATATGTTAAAAAAACCCATAAAAGTTAAGTAATATAATTTGCTTAATGGTTTTTTTTCACATATACTCTTAAAAACGCAATTAATGCACTTTTTATTATTAAATTACATGAAAAAATAAATTTTGACATTAATTTTAACAACTAACCAATTAAATTACTATTTATGTATTGATACTAAAATTAATATCAAATTTTTTATTTTTTCATATAACTCAATAGCTAAAAAGTGTATTTATTACAAACTTAACTTGTGTTTTATCATACAATATAGTACATATTAAAAAAATTCTTTACCTAAAATGAGAAAAAATATTTATCTATTTTAAAAAATATCAATTTTTTTTTGATAGAGAGAGTGCAATATTATAAGACCCTCCATATCTCCTCTAAATAATCTTAATCTCTCTAAGAATTCTCTCCCAAAATTCTCCTTACATCTCTAACTTTTCACTCACCGATCATCAACTCATTGGGGGATGGAATTTTCAAGCCAAAGGTGTGTCCTCGTCACTCATCTTAAATTTGTCACTAACACATACTTTTTAATATATCAGATGATAAATTATATAATACATATTTATACTATATTCAAGTAGAGTTATTAAATTCTTATTAAGAGTACAAATTCAAATTCTAATATGAATTATCATGTAATGTCAGGAATCTTATATTGGTGTGGAACCACTACTAAAATTTTGATTTTTAGCAACAAATATCAGCAACATGGAATCCTTTCTTGCTGAAAAATTATATCACCGACAAGGGTTTAGTTGCTGAAAGCTATGCAGTACACTTTTCCCCTCCAAAAGCTACTCCACTTTCAGCAACAAGGGGTATGTTGCTGAAAATAAATATCAGCAACATACCTTATATTGCTGATATTTTCCGGTAACCCTCCACCGCACTTTCCTCCCCAAATAAGGATTCCATTTTCAGCAACATGTCTCTTGTTGCTGAAAGTAACTTTCAGCAACAAGAGCTATGTTGCTAAAAATTTTAATCATTTAAAATTTAATTATTTGATAGGTGTGGCGGGAGTTTTTTTTATTTTAAATTTTAGCAACATAATGCATGTCGGTGATGAGTAAAAAAATTTAAATTCAAATGAGTTTTAGCAACATGGTATAGATTGCTAATAGAAAATAAA